AGTCGTCCCATCCATCTCAAACACGCGGCTGTTCATGTTGGCATGGCGTCGCTGGTGCAGCCATCCGCTCCCGCCAGCGGGCGGCTTAAGCTGCTCATCGCATGACGGGAAAGCAAACTTGAGATTCGTACTGACTTGCGCATGGCGTAGGCATGGCTCACTTTGCCCAGCTTGCGCCGGCCCCCCTCGAGCCGCAAGCTGGGGAAAGGGTATCGACTGGGACCGGGCTTGTTTGATGCCGTGTCTGCGACTGGCCTGGATATCTTGGCCCCAAAGTCCTCTCTAATTTCATCTCGCCGCCTGTCCGTGTTCTTAACACCTCACGGTTCCCTACTCGCCTGCCGTTTGTTTCTCTGGCCCTCCACGGCCTCATCCTCGTCATAATCTTTCGAAACGGAAAACGTAATCGAACTTTTGCGGTGCTACACACCGCCAAACGGCCCGGCCTCGCTCACGTAGCAATCTCATATAAGCCCCGTTTAGGCAGTGTTTTATGCTGGCCAAAAGTACACAGCATTCATAAGGAGAGGCCAACTGGCTCATCTTACCTGGTCCTTGAGTGTGCCTGCTGCACCACCCAACCAGGACTCTTGGAAAGACAGGACTGAGCTGCAGGAAGACGGCTCTGATCTACCTCCGGTGCTTTGTGGCCCTCGGATTGGTTTGTACCCTTCGATGTGGAATGGAATATTCTCCCGAAGGCAAGACCCTGCTCGACGCTACTTTTTCGGCGCTCAGTCAAGGCAGATCCATTCCCGTCATATCAAACACACCCGGCTTTACGTACATTGCCAACTGTATGCATAAATGGATCGTCTTCAACGAGCCACGTCGATGTCTCGGTCGTCGTCACTGAATTATCGAACACGGCACCAGGGCATTGACAACATAACAATGTCTGAAATACCAACACCAACTGGGCTGGCAGACATGGAGAGATTTACTACGCCCAGTGGCTTTCAGTCCTACCACCGGCCAATGCGCAGAGGAACGGTTCTGTCAAGATCGCCTCCAGACAATCAATATCCATCAGCAACAGGCCTTCGGGGGCCTCACGTAAACGAAGCAGATGGAACAGGCATTATACCTATAGGAATGGCACTTGGCAGCCCTACTGAAGAACGTGGCTCCCGTGGGAATGTTTGGCAACCTCGAGTTGAAACCACTGTCATAGCGGCCAGGGAGGACAGCCAAGACGAACAACAAACAAAAGATGGGCTTTCTAGATCCAAGTCGCGCAAATGGGGGATATTTGGCAGGTCCAAGTCGAAAAGAGTCAAGAACAATGATAGAGCTATGGATTCTCCGGATCAGCTTACCTCCCCGAGCGACACACCAACCCGCGGAACGCCAACTTCGGCCGCTTCTCGTGGGCCGCGATATACTGACCTGCGGGATACTAATGTATCACCAAGGGCAAAGGCACTTGGAAGATCGTTGACGGAACCTACAGGGTCAGAATCAAAATGGTCCCCCCAAGTTGGTTCACCTCAAGCCAAAACACAGACCACTCCGGATAGCACACGAACCCCAAATCGAGAACCTGTGTCAGAGGGTTCGAATCCTATCAAGCAGGAGCCAATTCTTGATGTTGAAATACCAAACATCACCCTGGACAGATATAGTGTGATGTTCGCGAATCTTCTTGAACGCCGCAGCGCGACATCTCTTCTCGCCCGTCGACAGGTCACCCAGGATAAGATACGTGCACTTCGCGAAGAAGTTTCTAGCCCTGGTTCTCAAAACGAAATTTTACGTTCAGGACGTAAACAAAGCATGGATCGAGACTTGCCACCAATTCCTTCATTACGACTCGAGCCTCTACAAACAACTCGGAAATATCATCAAAGTTCCCGCAGTAGGTCCAACACATCGCCTGCAATCATGGGCACGCCGTCAAAAGAGACTTTCACGGATTCACATCTCCGTGATGGAGAAAAGGGAAAATCACCACATATAGTGAGACTCGCATCCGTTAAGGGAAGTAAACCTACTGTTGGCAGCGGGATTTCCACGCAAGGCGACAGACCACAGCTCCGATCCAAGTTTCACATCCAATCACCAACGCACCAACATTCAGGATCCAAATCAACAATCGCCAGCAGCGTTGATCTTTCAGAGAACGACATGGAAGAAGGCGGACTATCCCCTCCGCCTGCCAGGAGCCATTCGTATAAAAAGGGCAACCCGTCGCAGTCAGACCCAAGCCCTCTGACACTACAAAAAGCCACCCGCTCAACAGTATATACTACTTCCACAACTGGCGTCCAGGGCAGCCTAAGCTTAAGCAGCCTCTCGGGAGAAGAGCCAGACGAAGATGAAGATAAAGCGGTGCAGGACGCCGTAGAGATATCGATTGCTCGTCAAATCAGTGTATCCCGCGAACAGCGCCGAATGCTAGGCCCACTGCAAATGCACCCCATAGAAGGAAGGCGGATAGCCGAAACGAAGAGTTCCACGCCGCGATTGGTTGACCCAAAGTTGGATCCGTCATCACCCTCTGCAGGTCACAGGAATAGTGAGCGGGTGGTGCTGGAGAGGGTATGACTGGCATGACCTACTGTTTCAAAAGCTGATATGAACGGTTTTACTGGAGGGAGGGCTGGCCTTTAGCCCCCAAGTAATCGTCGTGTTATCCCTGGGGGAGATCAGACAGCTGGCGCCGGAGAGCCAGTCAAGGATATAGCAAAGGAGGCTCTGCAAGGAGCCAATGATGGCGGTTGATATGATCAGGATATATCTTGATTTGGGGCTGGTCCACGCTACATTCGCTCTAAAGTCCACATTTCAAGCATTTAGGTTCCATCTGGACACTTTTTTTTTCTTTGTTTGAGGATTTTAGGATACTGCGTCTGGCATATGATGTAGTTGGAAATTATTCTGTAGGCTGGACGCTACAAGGTGGCTGAACAGGCCAATCGGGACTAGTCTCTGCTACCAATACCTTTCTCAGACATTATGAGCTCCAGAAGTATAAAAAAGAAGGAGATGTTTCAACTCCAAATTGGAGGCTTTATTAATTTGTCTTGTCCCGTATTAATATTTGGAACAGCCGTATATGTGCTGGCCACTTAAGAGCGTTCCTGCATGACTTCTAATCCTGACCATGGCCAAGCCACGAGAAACGCCGATGGACCCTTTTCTTGGCAACGTAGTGCTGAGCTGTCGAACGAGCGGATCATAATTCCAGTGTATGTAAATGCGAGTCTGTGGATGCGCCAACCAATAGCCGATAACCAATCTTGAACCAACAAGCCCGCCAGTTGGATACGGAAAGGAAATTCCAAGCCAAACTGGCCGCTTCATCTCCCTCTTTCCCGGTTACATCAACACACAGCATCTGTTTTGGTTTCTGGCTTGCTCTACGCCCGCCAAATTAGCACTCCTGAATTCATTTATACAGCCAAAGGGTGACACGTACTATAAAAGCCCTTGCTCATATCAGACAAGTCATTGCTCTTGTGGACCAATTCATCGAGCTTTTCTTGTCTCCCCAACACACTCTCGATGGTTTGGTGCAGTACCTGTTTGGTGTCGTCCAGTTCCCTTTGAATCTGTCCGATTGTATCTATTTGAGCAGGGTCCTGGTACTGGGCGAGCTGTTGCTGGAGCTCTTTTTGGTACTCAGCGAGCTGATCCTTGATATTTGCCCGAGGGCTCGACGCAGTGAGGTCCTTCCATGAGCTAGCGGGGAACTTGGCGAGAAACTCGTTGACGACGTTGCCGAGAAGTTTGTGGGCTGCGAGGGAAGGGTATTGGGCGTCGGAGATGGCGACACCGCACACACCCAATTTGTGGGAGTAGACGTGGAACACGAAATCTGGTTTCGAGTGAGCGGAAAGGTCTTGCGTCTTGGAAATTACTGCGGTGGCGGCGCGTGTTGGTCCATACCTTGAGCATCCTGCGCGACGGATTGCCGCTGATTAGGCTTTGCCTTTTCTGCCAATTGCTTCGCGAAGAAGGTCATGAATTGGGCATAACTGAGCAGGGCCTGTTAGAAACTTCGGTTTCGTTGACGGTCAATGGGGCATCAAGGCAAAGCGGGCGGGACGAACTTGTTTCTGGTCAGCAAACCATACGAGCTGACGTCCTTGACCACAGCAAGTTCCTGTGAGGGCTCCCTGTTCTTGGGATCTATGCCTTCCCTGGTGTCGTAGCTGATGATCTGTAGACTAAGCGTGAGTATTTGCGCCAGTGGAAGGTTGGGCGACGGGTGTAAATAGCCTTACGCCGATGTAGGACAGCTTCATGGCGGTGGTTAAAGTTCGGGTTCGGGCTCGGGTTCTGAGTCTGCGAGCTGGATCGAAGGAACGAATGGGCGGTGATAGTGCGGCGAGGTTGAAAGGATAAACGAGGTGCACACTGCGACGTTGAGGTGAAGCGAGGCCAGGGAGATGGACGATGTGGATGGGAGATGGGAGGGGTTCAGAGTCTCGAGTTGAGCGTTCCAGCGTTGCAGTGTTTAGTGGTTCACCCAGTGCTGGCACTGGTTGACTGACCAGGCGGTCGGATCTTGCAGCGACCAGTGACCAGTGGACGAGGCAGCTTAAGCACTTGAGGAGGAGCAATTTGATGGACAAAGAAACACTGGGCTCGAGCGCTCAGGCACCGGGTTAATTCTAGTGACCGCCAGTCCAGATGTCACATGCGTCCAGGCGTCTGGTGGGAAGACGTGCGAGCTCGATAATGGCACAGTGTTGTTGACTGGCAGGAGGTGGCACTCGAGGTGGGGCTCGAAGCAGCTTTGACTGACATCTTTGGTAGATCTGGTGGAGGAACGGTGTGACTCTTCAATGCTCCAGAGGGGCATCATTGATGCTTTATAATCTTTGCGCACAAAATAGAGCGGCAACGGAGATCTGGAATTCGCAATCCTCTTTCTTTCCTTTTTTCTCTGCTTGAGCCAATTGCCTTTTCAATGCTCGTCTGTTTAACCTGCTGCTACCGCTCTCCCTTTTTTTCTTCACGACGGCATCATCAGATTTGCACCATCTCGTAATATGGCGTCTCCGGACTTAGTTGCCGCCGAAGCAGAGTGGAGGGAGCAATTTGCAGCAATGCAAACTGCCCTCGCCAATCTCAAGCTTCCCACGCTATCCAAAGCTGAAGAGAGCTATCCCGATGACGATGACGACCTGGAAGGATTCTCATCTGGAAATGACGACCACGACGTGTGGGACTTTATATCGGACACCGAACAAGACGAATATAGCAGCGACCTTGTTGACGTTGATGTTGACGGAGTTGGCGCCGCAGAGCCAGAAAGCGCCCTGCATTGGTTTTTAGATGCATCAGCCGGAATTGCCGCCAACAACAATCTCTCTCCAGATGTCTTCCAAAACCAGATTATGAGCGTTCTGGGCTCTGGTGAGCCAGACTATGAGCTTCAGTCACACCTAACCGACTTGGTTGGATTCGATCATCTCGATTTTGTCATTGATGTACTGTCCAAGAAGGACGTTCTTGTGGCTGAGTCGAACGGCCGAGGCGAGAAGCATCCCACTTCACGTCGGTTGTTGAACAAGTCTGAGAGGGAGGCTGCTCTAAAACGCCAGGATTTTGCGCACAAGACTGCTTCATTATCTCCTGCCTCCAAGAAGGAACCACACTATCCGCATGTATACAGATCGTACCAGGCTGGAAACACTCTGAGCTTTGCTGGCAAAAAGTATGGCCTGCCTGTTGGAAGTGAACGTCTCCAGTTTGAAAAGTATGAAGAGTACTTCGTCCCAGCGGGTCGAAAAGGCACCCTTGGCCCCGGAGAAAAGCTGGTGGCTATCTCAGACCTTGATGGCCTGTGTCGGAATACCTTCAAGGGCTACAAGACGCTCAACCGTATGCAGAGCCTTGTATTTCCCGTAGGATATAAAACGAATGAGAACATGCTTATTTGTGCCCCTACTGGTGCCGTAAGTCGATACCAATCTAACAGCATTTCCCGTATAATGCACTCAGTCACCACTAACAACAATCATAGGGCAAAACTGATGCGGCCATGTTGACGATTTTGCATACGATTGGCCAGCATGTCTACCCTAATCCCATCGAGAATCCCGAGGCGACCGAGTTCGCTGTGGACATTGATGACTTCAAAATTGTCTACGTGGCCCCCATGAAAGCCTTGGCCGCCGAAGTTACTGAAAAGTTGGGCAAGCGACTTGCCTGGCTAGGTATCAAGTGCCGCGAGTACACTGGTGATATGCAGCTGACAAAATCGGAAATTGTCCAAACTCAGATCATTGTCACTACCCCAGAAAAGTGGGATGTTGTTACGAGAAAGGGTACTGGAGACACAGAGCTGGTCCAAAAAGTGCGCCTTCTTATTATTGATGAAGTCCACATGTTGCATGATGAGCGTGGCGCGGTTCTAGAATCCCTTGTTGCCCGTACTGAACGGCAGGTAGAGAGCACACAGTCTCTTATCCGAGTCATCGGACTCAGTGCTACCCTCCCCAACTACGTTGATGTAGCCGACTTTTTAAAGGTCAACAAGTACGCTGGACTGTTCTACTTTGATGCCTCGTTTCGTCCTGTACCTCTTGAGCAGCACTTTATTGGCGTCAAGGGCAAGGCAGGGTCGAAGCAATCCAAAGAGAACTTGGACAATATTGCCTTTGACAAAGTCAAGGAGATGCTGGAGAGAGACCACCAAGTTATGGTGTTTGTGCACTCACGGCGAGATACCATGGTCACTGCGAGAATGCTTCACCAGAAGGCAATCGAGCAATTTTGTATGGATCTTTTTGATCCGAGTGGACATCCCAAATACGATCAAGCCTCCCGCGATATGAAATCATCTCGGGCCAAGGATATTCGTGACCTTCTCTCCAAAGGAATTGGAATCCACCATGCCGGCATGGCTAGAGCGGACAGGAATCTGATGGAGCGACTCTTTGGAGAGGGTGTTTTGAAAGTGCTCTGCTGTACTGCTACACTAGCATGGGGTGTGAACTTGCCCGCTGCTGCTGTAGTCATTAAAGGTACACAGGTTTACAGTGCTTCGGATGGTAAATTTGTCGACCTCGGAATCCTAGATGTGTTGCAAATATTCGGTCGAGCCGGACGTCCCCAGTTCGAAGATACTGGCATCGGTATGATTTGTACCACCCAAGACAAGCTTCAACATTACTTGACTGCCATTACCGAGCAGCAGCCGATTGAGTCCAAGTTTTCAACCAAGCTCGTCGACAACCTCAATGCTGAAATTGCCCTGGGAACAGTAACTTCCATCCAGGATGCTGTCCAATGGATAGGATACTCGTATCTTTTCGTCCGAATGCAAAGGAGTCCAACCGCGTACGGCATTGAGTGGGCTGAAATTCGTGATGATCCGACTCTGGTGCAGAGACGACGCCAATTAGCCATCCAAGCTGCAAGAACTCTACAGCAGTGCCAGATGATCATTTTCAATGAGAGGACAGAAGAGCTTCGCAGCAAGGATATAGGCAGAATTGCTAGCCAGTATTACATCCTTCATACTAGCATTCAGGTATTCAACACCATGATGCAGCCGCAAGCTACTGAGGCCGACATTCTCAAGATGATTAGCATGAGTGGAGAGTTCGATAATGTGCAGTCGAGAGACACTGAAGCCAAGGAGTTAACACATCTTAAGAATGATGTTGTGCCTTGTGATGTGGACGGCGGCATTGATACACCACAGTCCAAGACCAACATCTTGTTGCAATCGTACATCTCTAGACAACAGCCTGAGGATTTTGCATTGTCCAATGACATGAATTACGTAGCTCAGCAGTCTGGCCGCATCTGCCGAGCTTTGTTCATGTTGGCGCTGAACAGGAGATGGGGCCACCAATGTCTAGTTCTGCTGACGTTGTCCAAGTCGATTGAGAAAAGGATCTGGCCCTTTCAGCATCCACTTCATCAATTCGATTTACCCAAACCTGTCTTGAATCAGTTGGATGCAAAGGAAAACCTGACTATGGAGACAATGAAGGAAATGGAACCTGCTGAGATCGGAGGCTTGGTTCACAATCACAGCGCCGGAAAGACCATTTCCCGATTTCTCAATCACTTTCCCACGGTTCACGTGGAGGCTGAAATTGCGCCATTGAACCGGGATGTACTTCGAATAAAATTGTACGTTATCCCGGATTTCTCGTGGAAGGACCAGATACACGGAACATCTGAATCGTTCTACATCTGGGTTGAGAACTCTGACACCTCAGAGATTTATCATCACGAATTCTTTATTCTTAACAGGAGGAAGCTTCATGACGAACACGAGCTTAACTTTACAATTCCTTTGTCTGACCCTCTGCCAACGCAGATTTATGTTCGAGCAGTATCTGATAGATGGCTTGGTGCGGAGACGGTCACTCCGGTGTCTTTTCAACATCTCATTAGGCCAGACACTGAAAGTGTTTACACTGATCTTCTTAACTTGCAGCCCCTGCCTATTTCAGCCCTGAAGAACCCCGGCTTAGAAGAGATTTACGCACAGCGTTTTCAATTCTTCAACCCCATGCAGACACAGATTTTCCACACCCTGTATCATACACCAGCCAATGTTCTCCTCGGGTCTCCAACAGGGAGTGGTAAGACTGTGGCAGCAGAGCTCGCTATGTGGTGGGCTTTCCGGGAACGACCTAAATCCAAAGTAGTGTATATTGCCCCTATGAAAGCGCTGGTTCGTGAACGAGTCAAGGACTGGGGAAAGAGGCTTGCCCAACCATTGGGACTCAAAATCGTCGAGTTGACTGGTGATAATACTCCAGACACAAGAACCATCAAGGATGCGGACATCATCATCACCACCCCTGAGAAGTGGGACGGTATTTCGCGTTCCTGGCAAACAAGAGGATACGTCAGACAGGTTTCTTTGGTAATTATCGACGAGATACACTTGCTTGCTGGAGACCGTGGCCCTATTTTGGAAATCATCGTATCTCGTAGGTTCTAGGCTGTTCATTTCCCGTCATGTATACAATCCTTGCTGATATTGACTAGGCATGAACTATATTTCATCCTCGACTAAGAACAAAGTCCGACTTCTTGGCATGTCCACAGCCTGCGCCAATGCTACTGATCTAGGTAGCTGGCTGGGGGTGAAGGAAGGCCTGTTTAACTTTAAGCACTCTGTTCGTCCCGTACCACTTGAGTTGTACATTGATGGTTTCCCTGAAATCCGTGGTTTCTGTCCCTTGATGCAGTCTATGAATCGCCCGACGTTTCTAGCTATCAAAAACCACAGCCCAGACAAGCCCGTTATTGTCTTCGTTGCTTCCCGACGACAGACGCGTCTCACGGCCAAGGACCTTATCAACTTTTGCGGCATGGAAGACAACCCCCGGCGGTTCTTACGCATGGACGAAGAAGATCTACAGCTGAACCTTGCCCGTGTTAAGGACGATGCCCTCAGGGAAGCCATCAATTTCGGCATTGGTCTCCATCATGCCGGCCTGGTCGAGTCAGATCGCCAACTATCCGAAGAGCTTTTTCTGAACAACAAAATCCAAATTCTTGTGGCAACTAGTACCCTAGCTTGGGGCGTCAACTTGCCGGCCCACTTAGTCGTTGTGAAAGGCACTCAGTTCTACGATGCTAAAATAGAAGCATACAGAGATATGGATCTCACAGACGTTCTCCAAATGCTTGGTCGAGCCGGCCGTCCTCAATTCGACAACTCTGGTGTGGCGAGAATATTCACCCAAGACTCAAAAAAAGATTTCTACAAACACTTCCTGCACACTGGGTTCCCTGTCGAATCTTCACTCCATACTGTGCTTGATAACCATCTTTGTGCTGAAGTTTCCGCCGAGACAATTGTCACAAAACAAGATGCGCTGGATTACTTGACTTGGACGTTCTTCTTTCGTCGACTACACAAGAACCCATCCTACTATGGGTTGGAGCTCTCCGCTGAGGAGCACTCTACCATTGCTGCACAGCAACTTGCAAACGAATACATGATCGAAATGGTCAACAAATCTCTCGGGGAACTTGCAGAGTCCAAATGCGTCGAGGTGTTTCCTAACGGAGACGTAGATCCTACAGCTCTTGGCAAGATCATGAGCTACTACTATCTCTCGCACAAGACGATCAGGCATCTAGTGAAGCATGCAAAAGCGCAGGCTTCCTTCCTCGATGTCTTATCGTGGATGTCCCGAGCCATTGAATACGATGAGTTACCTGTCCGCCATAACGAAGATCTCATCAACGACACCCTATCTGCAAATCTTCCATATCCTGGCCACGCATTTGGTTTACCCATGTGGGATCCACATGTCAAAGCCTTCCTACTACTCCAAGCGCACATGTCGAGAATTGAACTCCCGATCACGGATTACGTAGGCGACCAAACATCTGTCCTCGACCAAGCCATCCGTATTATTCAAGCTTCTATCGATGTCCTCACAGAACTGGGCTACCTATCATCTTGCTTGCAAATGATCAGCCTCCTACAATGCATCAAATCCGCTCGCTGGCCGACGGACCCCGTTGTATCTATACTCCCTGGTGTTGAGCCCGAATCCACCAAGGACAACACGCCACTCAGCAAACTGAGCGTACTTAAACCGAATGAAGTCAATCAGCTGTCAAAGAAACTCGGACTCAAATCGGCACAACAACTGTCCCGCGTGGCTCGTGCCGTGTCCTTCCTTCCCAATGTGTCTGTTTCAACATCAGACGTTACGGCCTTGTCTGTGACCGTGAATATTAAGCGCATAAACGCTCTAGTCGACAGAGAGGCACGTATATATGCTCCAAAGTTCCCCAAACCTCAGACAGAAGGATGGTTCGTCCTCGTTGGGGATATCACGCGGGATGAGGTCATTGCAGTGAAGAGAGCGACGTGGGCTGCGCCGGGAGCAAAGTCTCTGGGACAAAGCAGTACGCCTTCGGTGAAAACGGTGATCAAGTTACCAGAAGCGGTGGGCGGACAGGCCAGGAAGGTGGATATATTGGTTGTGAGTGATGGGTATGTTGGCTTGGAGTATAAAATTGAGGGGGTGGATATTCCAGGCGTGCCTATGGTGGATGATGCTATTGGCTCGAAGAAGGGGAATGTGTAAAGCACTGCGAGGGGAAGGATTCTCATTTGCCAACTACCAACGCATGAATGAGAGCTGGCAGAAACTCATGTCGCATTCTGGTACAGATGTAACGAATCATGTGCTTCATGGTTGATCGAAGAACAAAATCTTGCGATTTGAGTGAGCCCTCTGGCTCCTATATATGGAAATAGAACATGTGCCGATTTCACAGACATCAATGAATAGACATGGTCCAAAGCTGGAAGCATTGAATATCAGAGGTCATCCAACGCTATGCATAAGAACGATCAGGGAGCGAGGTGTAGCTATGCAACATGTAAACCGCGCCAAAGGTTTTAGACCAGGAAATAAGAACAAAAAAAGCACCAAGCCCACGCGCAAGACGAAGCGCAAATAAAAGTAGCCGCCGGGAAACCAATCAAAGCAAGACAAAAGAGAAAGAAAGAAAAAGAGAGAGAGACTCGTAGCTAGTGCAACACCTAAAGCGGACTGATGAGCCCACAACAATACACCAAAGGGAAAAGGGTATCTTTAGCAGTTCCCTCCAGGCCCAACCCGAATACTTGGTTCCATTCCGTAATACTCCCCTTCCCACCCGTTTTATCCAAGCAAACATGTCCCTAGCCTAGCCCTAACACGCCGGCTTCGACTCTCCCCCACCGCGACGTATTTGTCTCAGCAGCATCTGCGACTACCCTTTGATGCGCCATCGGGCTCATTCTGCTCCTGGGCCGTGGCGCCCGTCCGGTCAACCGTTACAGCTGGAGAGAAGGCAGGCGAAAACAACCAGCTCCGCCTGTCGCGTCCTACACGGAAACTACCCCTAGCGTTCATGCCGTCGAAATACCCGCCGTCCATGCCGGCCTCGTAGCCGGGGGTGCCCGGAGTGGCCGTCGCCAGCAAAAGAGCCTGCTGCATCTTGCGATTCTGCTCGACCAGCTTTCGGGCGACAACCCTAAAAACCTCCTCGACACCCTCTCCGCTCTCGGCGCTGATTTCGTGGCACGCGTCCCAGCCAACCTCCTGGGCCCAGAAGCCCGAACTTCGCTTGGAGCTAGGCGTGCGCGGTTCCACGCTTGGCATGGAGCCGGGCGCGTTGAGCGGCGTGGCCGTCGGGGGTGGCGTGCTGCCCAGTCCGGGGGCCAGATTCTCGGCAACGTAGGCGATGCAGCGCTCAAAGGGGACCTGCCTGGCGGACGGGTCCCGGGCGACAATGTCGGCCTTGGTGCCCACGACGTGCAAAACGACGTCGTTTGGCAGGTTGCGGCGCAGCTCGGTGAGCCAGACGCCCATTTCGGCAAAGGACTGCGCATCGGTGATGCTGTAGCACAGGATGCAGGCGTTGGCGCCGCGATAGTATAAGCGCGATATGGACCTGAACCTTTCCTGGCCGGCTGTTGGGGAGGGATGCCCGGTTAGCAAGCTTGCGGAGAACAATAGGACGGAGGCGCCAAAGACGGCCGGTGAATAGGTACGGCGCCACTCGGCGCAAGGCCCAATGAAGAGTGAATGGGGAGTGAAGAAGGGCGGCACCAACCTGTGTCCCAGATTTGCAGGCGCACCATGGTGTCGGTGTCGGAGTCGACGACGCGCTTGGTCAGAAAGCTCGCGCCAACGGTGGACGTTATCTGAGAGGGGTTGAAGGCGCCCTTGCAGTACCGCATGACGAGGGAGGTCTTGCCCACGCCCTGGGCGCCGAGGACCACGATCTTGGCCTCGAGAGACGACATGGCGGGTGAGTCGTGAGGGTGATGTGGTTTTGAGTGAGGCTGTGGTGTCACTATGCTGCGGAATCCGAAAAATGTGTGAACTATTGCTGGTCAACTCGCTGGCTTGTCTAATTTGACAGTGAACCGCGTAAAACATGAAATCGTGATAATTGGCTACTAATCAAAAGGCGGGAGCGGGCGTGATGGTGAGGCGCGACGAATGCGACGACGACGACGACAACGACGCGCCGCGATGAATGCAGGCTTGAGCGCAGCAATAGGGGAAAGTTTGATTCCCCTTATCGCATTGTCACCGTTGGCTTCAGCGAAGGATGGGCGTGGGGGCAGGGCGGGCAGAGGCCTGCACTCTCATTGTCGTGATGGGCTGACGATGTTGTTTGCGTCGGACGTTTGGTGTTTTCTTCAACAGGAAAGCCCAGACGGGGAGGGAAAAGGCAGAGGCAGAGGACAAGAGCAATCTCTGTCTCCTCTCCTGCAAGGGAAGAATAAAGCGTGCGGTTTGCGGGCAAGGCGTCGTTGCTCGGCGGTCAGCGATAAGATGCGATGCAATGCTATATGAGGATTGGAGAGATCATAGATGACGGATCAAGTCGAATGAGAATGAGCCCGCAGAGATGGCGCGAGGCGAGTCACGGCGGGGTCGAAAGGGAGGGCGTCACGGCACCGTCACGTCACGCCTCAGAGGTCACGCCGCACCTTTAGGGCCGTCTGCCGCAGGCTAAGGAACTTGAAAGGATCGGACGAGACGATAAAACAGGTCTGGTTCGTGGTGGAAGGCTTGGGCCCGAGCTGCAGTTTACTTGTATTTTGCTTTCAATTGCCGCGGACATCACATATCGCATTGTCCCTCTGGCCGGCGCACTCCCACGTGCCACAGCGCGTCTCACCCGATACGGTACTGATCAGTGGCTGTGCCGGGTGCCTGACGACACAAGAGCATAAAAAGCACAAAGTCCGCTAGTTCAAGGGTTCGGGTTAAGCACTATTGACACCAAATAAATATGCAGCCCCATTGGGGATTTTATGCCTCTCCCCTGCGTGCAACTCTGAGATGTCGGCAACAGAGGAACTCTCGGCCATGGCGAATGCCAAAACACCAACCGGCGGCTCTCGCTGCAAGTCGACGTCATTGTACATGCTGCCATGGAACCGCCCATTCTCCAATCAGACAGGCCTGCCGGCCCATGTCCGACTTGCACCGCTCTCGACGGCGTCTTTGTGCGGGTTAACCTGTAGGCCAGACCAGAGCAGAACAAGGAAAACGAAACAAAACTCGTCTTTGTGCTGGATGAAAAGAGGTCCGCACAACGAACTTGGCTGTCAAAGGCCTTGTATTTCATTCATTTTTTAAATCACCATGGTTGGTGTGTTCAAGGATGATGGAAATGCAGAGGCAGTGAAGTGAAATAGGCCATAGCGCTTGGAGTTGGCCCAATTTTCCCTTTGACTGAGGAATCTATACTCGATGGCTCAATATCTCGGTACTTGAACGCATCTTGATTTTTATTTTTCGCATCTATTTTTCTGCTTCCTCTTCCTTGCTAGGTGTAGTTTTGGGTCTCGTCGGGCCAACTACAGTGCATGCAGCTGTGTAGCTTCAAATTGTGTAGCTGATAGAGACCTGCGAATGCCAAAAGTATGGTGTGTCGTACGTGACTAAATAGCTTAGTACTGGGTCTGGTTGTTGTTTACTCCATCTTGTTTCATTTTGTACTTTGTATTTTTTCTTGTATTTTTTCCCTTCTGGCGCCAAGTCTCTTTCCCCTTCAAGCAAAACCGCGAATGCACAAGACATCCATCGCGTAAATAGCACGACCCATCCATCGTATAATTGCTAGCTGCACAACCAAAAGTGGAGGAACCTCTGCTCGCAGGGCGTCTTGGTCACAAGTTTTCACAACCAATATCCTGCAAACCGTGACAAACATAATGTACCACCACCGCTTGACCTATTGTCCGCCATCGGCTTGGGCACATTCATGAACAAACATATCCACATTCCATGGTTTCCATCGGCAACACAACGGCATTCGAAGCGCCCGCACAGCCGCCCGACCCATCAAAGGCCGTGTCAAAGCCCACAAAGCCCAGCCCAACGAGTGGCTGCCAGCATCCCATCTTTGTCGCAGCTCTTCACAGCCACAGCCCTTGACGAGCGCTTGCGCAAACGGTGTGACGGTGTCAATAACCCCTGTCCTCTCGGGCACTGAGAAGGCAGGCCAGCGACTCTGTTGATCCAACGAGATGCGCGGCAACGTCCCAGACTGGCCGACTGTGACGCAAGACTGCAAACCACCACGTCAATCAGACAGACAAATCTGGGTCGCTAATGTCTCCTTGTGTCTTGTCGATGGCCTCCTTTGGCCGACGTACCCTTGTTCAGGGTTTCTTCAACGGTCTGCAGGCTGCAGCACATGCCTGGGCGGTGCTTGTTTGCGCTCAGGGCCTCAATGCCGCCTTGGTTGGATGTCGGTGAATCAGCCCGGACAACGACGGCCTTGTAAGAGGTGAATGATTCAAACAAGATGCACAGATTGAACAACATGTGCACTCTGATGGGGGGTTTGTGGCCAAGGCCTATCAATGGCTGCCCACCCTTTTTGTGCACGCAAAGATGAGACGTCGTTTATAATGCCCGGCAAGTCGTTGCTTGCTTAGTCTTGTATTTTGTGTTGTGTGTTGAAGTTTACCATCCGTTATTACGATTTACATTTTGATACAGGAGACAGCGTACGGAAAGAATAAGAAAAATCTCATATTGCAATACGCCACGATGAAACCAGCAGTCGGCCGATTCTTGATCCTCCTCCCCGTCATCCTAGCCGTCATCAGCTTCATACTGTCTATGCTGGCTCTATACGCAGGTCGCCAGCCAGGCTTTATGGAAGACTATGCCTTTGTCAGGGTAAGAAATGCCGCAAATGGCAGTACTCATCCTCGATTCTAACTTGGCATGTAGCTCAATACCTCCATGGTCGGACACAACCTCTTCGATAAAGGCAAGAAGGACGACAAGAGTGGCGACAAGAAAGGCGGCGATGGCATCCTAGGCGGCATCCTAGGCGGCATTGTTCCAGACGTCGAAATCCCAGGCGCCAACGTTCTGGGCGACGCCAAGGACTGGGTAGAGGACAAGACGGACGGTGTAAAGGGCAAACTCAACGACATCACCGGCGCCATTGCAGACGAAATAGCCAAGAAGATTGGCATCAAGCAGTGGTACTCACTGCACATCATGGACTCGTGTGAGGGCTACTTCCAGCCGAATGCCACCGCGCCCGGTGCTGCGCTCAACGTGACCAACTGTACTTCGTCGAGTCCATCTCGTAAGTGCCCATCTATCCGTCGTGAAAGAAGGGGGTGATTGCGAGCCAAAACAACGAGTCAAAAGCTGACCGCGAGATGCATATAGACCGCCTCAACCTGACGGATCTCTTGGACAAGGAACTTAGAGTTGGCCCTGCAAAGCTCAATCTCGCCGACATCAAGTGGCCCCAGGGCATCCAAGACACGCTCGACGTGCTCAACAATGCCCTCCTCGGCCTGCTCATCATGTACTCCCTGGGCATAGGCTGCTGCGCCGCGTCGGCATTAGGCGGCCTCGCAGCCTTCTTCAAGCCCGACATGCGCATCCTCGCGCTGGTGAATTTCACCGTCGGCGGTTTGGCGTTCCTCAGCATCATCATAGCCAGCATCATCGTCACCGTTGCCACAAACACCGGCGTCAAGGCCGTCAATAAAATCGGCAATCCGGTCGGACTGTATGCGAGCAGAGGCGAAAAGTTCTACAATCTAAGCTGGGTGACCACGGGATTCATGGGATTCGTTACCTTGTTCTGGATGGTCCGTTTCTGCATGGTGAGGCGGCAGAGGAGGCTCATGACGGAAAAGCCCTGGAGCTGAGCTCCACGCCGTGCGTGAGCCTTTTCGTATGAGCAAAGCATCATCACCAGTTGTTTACTTTTTTCCGTCTTGGAGCTTGTTCATTGGGGGCGTGTATCCGGGAATTCAACGCAAGAAGCGGAGACTGTTGTGGTACAACCCCCTGTTTAATGTTTTTATTTTTATTTTATTTTTTCCTGTAAAAAGTGTGACGTGCGCAAGCGCAGTCTTTATTAGATGTTAGAATAATTTACTGCCTCGTGGCTCTGAGTGCCTGCTGGACACACTCTATTAATTGACTGCAATTTGAGCAAGCAAGCCTGGTTTTCCGTGTCCGACTTTGCCAAATTGTACTTGACACTTTTTTTTCGTCAGCGCGGCCTGTGCATTACTCTAGCGAATCGGCGACGTTGAAGCGAAATAAGACGTGCTGGGCCAGCAATGTAAGACTTGTATCCGTTGGCAAGACTAAACGCATAGACGGTAGAAACTATTGGACAAGAGGGAAATCTCTCAGGAATATGATACGAGCAGTATTATTGATGAAATGAATTGATTGACTCGGCGGATTACCAAGAGTGTTTTTATTAAGAGATTTGGAACTTGGCAAATAAAGTATCTAAGTATCTAAAACTATTGTAGCTGACAGCTTTGGCTCTTAATGGCAAATAAAGTGGTTTTAAATAATAAGAGGGGAAATAGTGTAGGGGTTATCGCGTCTGCTTTGCATGTAGAAGGTCCGGGGTTCAAATCCCCGTTTCTCCACTCTTATGTTTTTTTTACTTTATTTCAGACTCATGCCTTAAATCATACTATCTGATGTCTTCTCTCTTTTTTAATAAATTTACCAAATACACTCATTAAGTGCTACCTATGGTAGCATCTACACTTTTGACTTTATTACTGTCGCGTTCGCATTTGGTATACTCTCCGAGTGCTCCACACAGACTTCGATTAATCCGTTGACATTCATTCATCGTGACCAACTGACCGCGATCCCAGGACCTCGTCCTTGTTTAACATAACCGGCCCTCCATACCTAATTGCAAGAGGGGGGAGATTAGGGAGCGGCAAAGCCAGGTTTCAATTCAGCCTGTTTGGCTCAACAATGAATGGCCCAGCCAGAGGTCACAGAGGTGGGGCAGCCATCACTGTATCTCGTGCTTTCGCTTCTCATGTGTAGCCTCATGTTTCACTCCAATCTCAGTTTCCTTTTTACCGTCCTGCCATCCCTTCTATTTGGCACACAAAAACTTGCAAACATCACACGCGGATAATCCTACACCGGCAGAGGTCCTCACAGCAGAGTAGGGAGGAGAATTTTGAACAATAAAAAATAAAAAAAAAAAAAATGCCCGGCGACGTCGAAAATGTCAACGGCGAGACTGAATCCCTCCTCGGCCGAAGCCGGCATCGAGTGAGGCGCTTCTTTGACGGCTTCATCGACTTTGCCTTCCAGGGCAACATTCTCCAAATCGCCTTCGGCTTAATGTGCGGACCCCTTTTCCAAAGACTCTTTCCGTTTTGCTCGCCCGCAACACCTGCTAATAGCTGTGCAGCATCGCCAACATCTTCACCGACCTCGTCAAGTCCTTTGTCAGCGCTATCCTCATGCCCCCTCTCGCCATCTTGTTCCCTGTCAATAAGAACATTGAGGAGAAGTTCGCGGTGCTCCGACCCGGAGACGGGTACAATAGCACGACGGGGTACAACACGCTGCGCCAGGCGTTGGATGACGGCGCCGTCGTCATGGCCTACGGGTCGTTTATTTACCAGGTCGTCTCCTTCATCATGGTGGGGTTTGCTTTGTATGGGCTGGCGCACATATACACCTTGATCTCGCATGATCCGATCATCAAGCATACCAAGAAGTGCAAGTACTGTCGAAATCGAATCAATGAGAAGGTAAGGTCAGGAACTCTAGGTTGGGGGCTCGTTGTTGGTTATCTCGAGATGGTGCTGACGTGTTTCTGTAGTGCTTGCGCTGTTTTAATTGTACGAGCTGGCAAGATGGGCGGGAGGAGAGAAACGGGTGTTGAACGGGCGGACACGACACGGCCATGCATATGCAACGCTTTCAGCATGGCGTGTATTGGGCATTGGCCTTGATTACTGTCTGGGTGCGTTCTGCAATTTACTTGGGCGCAGACTTGTTTGCGAGATGCGACTTGCGACCTTTGCAACTTGTTGCTATTTCATCTCCAGTTTTGCGATGAGTTGTTTATAGTCATATTCACTTTTTCAAGGTAGTAATTATTTTTACAAATTCATTACCAGCAACGCCATAGACCTGGGTCGCTACTACAGACGGTCGTCTGATGACGTGAAACTCGTTTACTTGAACCAGCAGCTCGACTGCTTCACATGGCCAAAACACCGCCCACAATAGCGGCAACGCCAGCCAAAACAGCATTTTGCGTCACAGCCGGCGCGGCGTTCTTGCCAGTGGTGGAAGTTGCCGCGGCTTCACCCGGCTGTCCGGCCTCTCCGGTGCTAGAAGTCTTGCTCGCTTGGGTAGTCTTTGCAGTAGCCGTCTCGGAGGCACTGTTGGATCCGCCATTGGTGGCGCTCGCGCCGGGAGAAGCAGAGAGCTTGTCGGCGCCGGCGGTGATGGTAACGGGGAACATGGACGTCTTGTAGCCGGATTCAGTGACCTCGGAAGAGGTCACCTGCGAGCCCTCGGTGAATTCGATCTTGCAGGCGGCGACGTCCTTGGACGGGTCAAGCTTGCAGTTGGCTTTTTGGGTGCTGATACCCAGTCAGTCTCGCGGTTCTTCTCTTGCGTTGGAGAACAAAAAGAAAAGGAAAACGCAAAAGAAAGGAAGGAAATAGTCGACATACAGAACCCCTATTTCGCTATTAGACATGCCAAGGCTCCATTGCCATGTACTCTCACCCTGGGTAATAGTCGCACCACCCGGCGGCAAGCCACACTCGTCCGAGGGCGTGCCGGAGGGACACTGCACGGCAAAGGTAGTGGCGCTCGAGTCGACGTTGACGACGGAGCCGACGAAGGGGGACTCGTCGCCAAGAACAAGGATTTTGACGGTTGTTGTTTCGGCGGCGACGGCAGAGCCAGCCAGAGCGGCAAGGAGAGGGAGCGCGGCGCGAACCATGATGGATGAACGAGAGACGGCAACGAGATGTGCTACTGGCAAAACAAACGTGGCGAGGGCGAGCAAAGAGGAGAGAGAGAGAGAGCGAAAACACGCCCTATTTAACGGCAACGCAAACTCCCTACAGGGGGGAGGACGGTCGACCTGACGCTATCTCGATGTTGAAGCAAGCTAAACTGGCGCGCCTCCACTCAAAGCATAAAAGGGGCACCTGGTCCATCATCTCACGGGTCTATTGACTACGTCACCAAGCCCAGCGCCAGGTTGGCAGAACTCAAAATGTGCTTTTTTCAGGGGCCTGTGTGTTTTTGCAAAAGGGCGCACCCATTGCCTCGGCGATGCCCCGTTTCAATGCGGCGTCAACTGGTGCCTCGCATGAGTAAAAGCCGTCTTGTTGCCGGTCGATTGATTGTCCAACCGTCAGAGGAATTTCGGTGGAGAATTGTCGGCCCTCAAGCAGGTTTGTCCCCTGAATATCCCTAACCCCTGCTCGTAATTGATTCTCTCCAAATGGAGATCGGGGCCGACATCTCCCCATGATTTTGCCCCATGCAAGCATTTTATGGGGGGTTTTTATTGAATGCCTAATCGAAGTATACATGTAGTTATTGTTATGCACTTGCCCGCGGGTAGCCCCTTACTAAAGGATAAAGAGAATTTGTACATCTAGCCCTGTCTGTTGTCTCTGATCAAAGTTTGCTACTGGCTACAACAGCCCGTGTCTGATAAATCGGGGGGTTTAGCTTCTCACCAGGATTCTACCGAGTAGTACTAGTACTACTAGAAGAGCAACGAGCGATCTGCGCGGAATACAAAAGTCTGCGCAGGGCATGCTTTCTCCTTTTCTTGCTTCCTTCCATTTTTATCCATCCTTCCACCAGCGGGGGAGCACATGAAGCATCAAGAACAGAGTACTCTTGTCACCTGTCAAGATGATGTCGACATTCTTCTCCAGCGTATTAGCGCTGATCCATTGGCTGTCCCCAGGGGCCAACCCATCGAGCTCCAGCTGTAAAAAGTGGGGCGCGTCGCCTACTCCCGTGCACCATCTTTGCGAATCGAGGCAGCCCGCCGTCTCTGCACCGCACCCGAACATCTGGGGCGACCTCACTGACGAGGAAGCCGCCAGGGTCATCGACCTCCTGCACCGGCAATCGACTGGCCTGAACCTTACGACAGAGGATGCTGCCAGGAGGTGAGAAACCAACATCAGGTGCAACAGCAAACAACAACGCAAAATACTGACAAATTTTGAATAGCTGGGATAATAAAATGTATGTGGCCTTGTCCGTCAAAATCGCACTTGCGGCTTACACGTTGGTCGACTCCGTGTCTTGTCAATAGCCTTCTCGTGGAGCTCCTGGCCCCAAACAAAAGCGACACGCTTCCGTTCCTCAACAACAAGACAACCACACCTCCGCCACGATGCGCTCGCGCAACTCTGATGTTTGGCGCAACGCCTAATCCCTATCTTCAGGACTATGTGATTGGCCCGCTTCCCGTTGCTAACAACACCCAGGTGCAGCCGCTTCAATTTCTCTACAACAATGCTGGCAAGGGGAAAGTGGCCGTTGATTTTGCTGATCGTAGCGCCGTGGATCACTATGTCAAGGACGTAGGCATGTCCGTGGCCGACATCACGAAACGTCTGTGGGATGGAGTGAGTGGCCACGACGCCAGGAGAGTCATGAGAAAATATTCTAACAACACCAGACCCTTGACGACACCCTTGGCCTGTTGCCAATATTTCCACCTTGGAAGGAGAACGGCAGCTTGGTTTTGTGGTCCGGCTTCGTAAACAACCCCACCTCAACCTTTGACTCGGAGACGATTCTTCCGCTTGGTCTATATTTCGGCGTTGATGTAATGGGCAGAGATCCATCCAAGTGGTCTGTAATAGGATGGTATTACGACGGCAAATACTACCCGACCACGAACGCGTTCCGGGCCGCCGCAGCGTCCAGTAACTTCACACTACTCAGAGCCAACTCGGACGGTCCGTGGGCCCAAATAGAGAGGCAAGGTAGCCCGATGAAATTTGACCATTTGCCTCCACCCACGGCCGTTATGCCCGGGTCGAATCGCTTCTCTGTGGACGCAAAGGAAAACTACGTCGAGTGGAGTAGGTTCTGAGCAGTTTCTGTTGGTCTTTCGTATGAGGGCGCGGTAGGACTAAATTGATGCAGTGGACTTCTCTTTTTTCCTGTCTTACTACAGAGACAATGGATTACGCCTCTTCAATGTCCAATATAAGGGCAGAAGAATTCTGTATGAAGTATGTTGGCCGTTGCAATCGGAAACAGTTATTCTATTGAGCTATATTCTAACTGCCCATGGTCAGCTGGGCCTGCAGGAAGCGCTGGCTCTCTACGCGTACGTGGTGCTACAAAGTGAAATGACGGTTTGATTCGGCCTGACGCCTAATAGAGGGAATGACCCGGTACTGTCCGGCACAACGTAAGCAGGCGGCTTCGGTAGCCACATAATGCTTCCAGAACTTACAGGATATGCCACCACAGGTACTTTGACAGTAAGCCTGGCGTTGGGCCAAGTGTGGTATCTCTTGTCGATGGTGAGTTTGACCGCCGACAACAGGTCAAACGGCAACCAAGTTGACAGGGCCCTAGGATACGACTGTCCGACATATTCAACGTATCTGAATGCCACCTACCGACAAGGAGAAAAATTATATACTCGATTTAATGCCATTTGTGAGTTTAACCATGGCGCCCCTAGTCTCGGAGGACGCTAACAAGTCCAGGTTTGTTCGAATTCGACCAGGGATATCCTATACAGCGCCACTCTACTGCTAACTATACCAGTGTTACCAAGAACATTGCCTTTACAGTAAGGTCTATTTCAACCATCGGAAACTACGACTACATGTTCTCGTATAATTTCTTCTTGGATGGGAGCATAGAGGTCTCAGTGAGAGCTTCTGGATATATACACGGCGGATTTTCTGCCAACAACGAGGAGTATGGTTGGAAAATTCACGACAACTTGTCCGGCTCCATGCATGACCATGTTCTCACTTACAAGGCTGATATTGATGTATTGGGCGAGAAAAACAGCCTCCAAAAAGTGGAATTTGTGCCCGCAACCATCGAGTAAGTATGAGAACCCATTAACTTATGTAGCGCAGATGCTGATCAAAAGGAAAAAAAAAAAGATATCCGTGGTCAAATGGTGCCAAAAGGAACACTATGAAGCTGCAGAAATCGTTTGTCCAGAACGAAAATGAAGCCAAGATCAACTGGGCTCCTAATGGTGCGGCCATGTACGCCATCGTCAACAAGGAAGCAAAGAATAAGTTCGGAGAATACCCCGGGTACAGGTTCACCCCTGGTAGGTGGGCCAAGTGCGCTATACAGTTGCCTGAGTGTGGAACTAATCGCGTAGCAACTTCGAACGTTATCTTCCTCACGATTTCGAACTCCTCTAACGTCATGAAAGCCGTGAATTTCGCCAATCATCACTTCTATGTCACGAAGCAGAAGGACACAGAAGCTCAAGGGACACACCCGTATAACGTGCTTAATCCTGCAGACCCATTAATTGACTTTGCCAAGTTCTTTGATGGGGAGTCTCTGGATCAGGAGGACCTGTAAGGCGCCTCATCACGGATTGGGGTCTTGAAGCTGAAAAGGAAAAAAAAAGAACAAAGAAAAGAAAAGAAAAGAAAGACTAACGGCATCAGCGTCCTTTGGTTCAATCTCGGAATGCACCACGCCCCGCACACTGGTGATCTTCCTAATACTGTGTTCACGACAGCACATTCCTCTCTTATAATAGAACCGCTCAACTATCTCGAAATGGATGCCTCCCGCGCTACCTCGCAACAGGTCCGGTTGAACTATAAAGATGGCAAAGTACAGTCTATCAAGACATTTGGCTCCCAAAACATGACTTGTCACGTTGACGCGGTACGTCGCTTCCGTCCATGGTTCTGGAGTTATCGCTGACAAAAGAGGCTAAAATGTCGCAGAGCCAGCTGATGCCTAAGCTTTGGAGGGACAAAGGTACTGTATCAGTTCTCACATTTGTTCCGGGTCAGTCACTAATACATCCAATTCTCGAACCGCCCAGGCAGGTGACGAATATGCGCACCCGTAAAATCCCCCGGGTTAGCAGCGAATACAAAGAAGCCAATGTAACCTAATTACTGTTTCTTTCCCAATTCAACTACTGTTGTTCTTTTCCTTTTTGGTCGTTCAATTAACGGTAAATCAGTTGAGAAGTCTTGTTCGACCATAGCTAGCCTGATGTGTGGTATATGGTTCTTCGACTACATAGACTCGTAGAGTGTCCATGCGTGGATCGTATTTTTTAAACTCTGATATTCTTACAACTTTTTAGCCAAGAAACTTTTTAGCCAAGAAATTATCCTCTCTACTAGTGATGGCCAAGTCATGCCAATGACAGCAGCCAAGAGACACAAGTTGAGATGAGATATGATCAAGTTGTCGCACTCCCCAACTTACATAGCCGTTACGGGCTTGCATGTTCGGTCTCGGCATAATCTTGGCGCCAGTTGTTCGGTCTTGGCACTGCAACCACATCTCCGCTATGCCGTGGCAAAAAACGGCAAGAATTGAGCAGAAGCCCACTGGTTATCTTGGATATTGCCTCGGCATTAATTGGCGGCATATCGGCACCATCGCTTTGAACCAGTTTCTGGAGGCCTTGGTTGGCGTCTCTGCAGTGTCTTTCTTGTGCATGCATGCCTATAATACTCCAGGGTCCTGATGTCATCTGGGTCGCGATGCTGGGGACAGTGCAAAAACGAATTCGACTCTTTTCCTACTCGGCAGGCAAACGATGCAACATCAGAACTTTTGAAGTGCATGGGCCACAACGACACGGGGCGTTTGCACCCTGTCAATGGCATAAGATTGCACCGCATAACAGCATAAATCGCCAATGCGGGCATCATTCGTCCTTTGTCCGACGACAAGCACAACCCAGACGCTAGAACACATTGGGCCACAGCCAAGACT